TCGTGTGAGTTTGACGCTTACAGGGTTGCTCTGGTAAACGTGTATACAAATTTAAAGTGCTGCTTAAATCACTAAGAAAGAAGATATTGAGTAGCCAACAACTGCCCCCCCTCCTCCAATCTAGTTTTGTTTGTTTAGCTTTACTTTTTTAAAGAAAAGGGGAAAAAAAGATATGTTCACGAAAAAAAAATGGGTTTTTACATTTTCATTACTGAAAATTCAACAAAAATGTAGTAGCTACTCATGTTGCACTGAGCTTGCCAGTGGTGACTGTCAAGGAATATCCTATAATCCAGTTTGTTGGTTGTCGTCCCTCGCAGAAGACTGAACTGTTTTAGGTCTATTTAATGAAATACCAAGTTGGGTGTTTTCAACATAAAAAAGTGGTTGTCAAGTTTTTATGGCCTTACGATATATTTTATTCTGATGGGATTTTTTGTTGTGTTCTTCAGTTCATTTTGGTTTTTGTTTCTTCCATTTTCTACAGTATAAACTACTTGCTCACAGTGGGGTCTCTGGTGACTTAATTTATTAGTGCCGCATCTCGGCCTTTCCCTCCACTCGGAAAGAGAGTCTCATGTTGGTTATATTGACAGTTTTTTACTTTTGCAGTTTGTACTTAAGGTTTAATAAAAACTTACCGACAATTCACTGTCATTTCTTTCCAACCTTGTGTCTCTTTGTTTGGTTTCATTATTCAGATTTTAAGTGTTAAGCTAAACGAGTCTGGTAAAAGTAAAGAGCCATTGCATCCAAGATACAAATACATTTTGAAATGTACGGTAACTCTAGTAGACTCTAAAGGAACATTGTTCTAATAAAAACTGTTGACAGTGAGTCCTGTGAATTGTGTAGACGGCAACATCTTTGGAAAAACAAAACTTGAGCACAATGCACTATTTCTTTAGCTCCTTATCATAGTAAAGTGAAGGCAAAATTCTGAAGGCATGTCAACCTTGGGCTAATAACACCCAAAGTGTATTCATGACCAATACTAGATGTAAGTGAGAAAACCTTCCGTTGCATTTTGGGTTAATTGACCCTTACAAACAATACAACAGCCAAAACACTCCATTGAGAGAGCATTACCATAGGCGAAGGTTTCACCGTGACATTATCAAGCTCCACAGCAGCAGGTGTGGAATACACAAGTGCTATTATGTTCATATAACACAGTTTTCACTCTTCACACACAACACATTGTCCATGTGAAACTGTTGGAGGGCCCTGTAGTGTACCATGACCTTAAATAAACTGCAGAGGAATGACCGCCATGCATCAAATCGGCTCCACTCGTAGCATAACACTCACAGTATAACACTATTGCTTATTTTCCTGTTGAGATATTTTACAAAAAAATGTAAGTTAACTTGTTAAAATCAGGGATGCAAACTCATCAGGTATGAAAAAGGTGACATGGATCCGAGCCCCCCGACCCCACGGAATATCGGCTTTAAAATTAGGAATAACAGAGGATTTTAGCAGTCAGAACAACTAAAGCAGCAGTGGTAATAATAACAGAAACGCTAAAGAGTCACATCTAATAGAAATATATAAAGGCATTTATTTTAATTGTGTAGCAGTCAGTTTATAATTTTGGCAGCACTGTTGAGCATTTTGAAAATGTATTGTCATGCCTCTGTGCAAGGCTTAGTCTTTCTATCTTTATAGCCACTGGTGTAAAGTAACTAAGTTCATAAACTCAAGTACTACTTGAGTACAATTTTGAGATACTTGTACTTTATTTAAGTATTTCAATGTTTTGTTACTTTGTTCTTCTTCTCCTCTACAGTTCAGAGGTAAAAAGTGTACTTTTACTCCACTACATGTATTAATACCTTTTAGTTACTTCACAGATCTGGATGAATTATGTGAAATCTAATCAAGTGTTAAATCAGACTTTAGTTCCACCTGGAGTAAATTCACAAGCTACCCTGCAGTATACAAAGTCATTCAAACTAGCTGCACCTTTACCAGCTTTGAGAACACTTTAATGATCAATCATTATAAAACATATCATATATATTATTCTGAAATGGACCAATCTGCACAATCACTACTTTTACTGTGGCTACTTTCACTATATTTTGATGATAATACTTTTGTACTTTTATTTGAGGAACATTTTGATTGCAGAATTGTTCCTACATTCTGGTACTTCTACTTTTACTCAAGTACAAGACCTGAGTACTTCTACTTTTACTCAAGTACAAGATCTGAGTAATTCTACTTTTACTCAAGTACAAGATCTGAGTACTTATACCACCTCCGTTTATAGCCTATGAAAAAAACTATGAGAAAACGAAGGCTAAAGCTAACGTTAGCAGATAGTGACAATGTATGCTAGTTAGTTAGCTCAACGATAATATTGCGACAGAAAAACTTTTCAGTGCACATCACGCTCTGCGGCTCTGCTCTGAACACCTGAACGGCCCGTTCTAACAGCTGTTCACCAGCGGTCCAGTCTGTGCCACAGTGACTCCGGACCACACAGATAATATTAACGAACGCACCCGTAGGTAATGTAGCTGCTGAAGCTAGACCCTCATACCGGAGCAGCAGAGCCTTATTATACATCGATGAGCAGAGCCGACAGGCAGGAAGACTCGAGCTTCATTATAATATATAAAAAAAGAACACCATGCGTGTCATGATGGCACATAACGGCTCGCGGCCGCAGATTATTCCGGGTCCCAGACCCCCCCCCCAACCCCAACAAATATTTGTATTGCAGATCTACATGAATCACACAAACGAACTATTTTGGATTCAAAACGGTGAATTTCGCCGAAAGGTGACAAGTTTGCATCCCTGTAAAATCATCCTTCTCAATCCAAAACCATTTCCACTCTTCATCCATTTTCTTGTTTCAGCTTTCCATCTCTAAAGAGCTGACAGGACCTTAAAGAGTGACTGTTAACATGCTCAAACCCTGACTCCTACTCAAAATTCATTTTTTAACGTGACAGAAATGCTTTAATGAAAATCAAACAATGTTGGGGAAGAAACATTTATTAGCCTACCAACAAGTCAGAAACTGTAGGCAGAGGAAAAGAGAGGAATAAGTAATGCTGCCACATGTCAACATTTCTGTACAAAAATGTGGACACAGTTTAACCTTCTGGGTGTTCTCCAATGCATAGCACTCAGTCCAAACAGGGATTTGGTCCTCGCTCAAAAGGAGAAGTTTACCCACGTATTATTGGTCAAAGGAATGGCAATGGGTAACTCTCCTTTGTGTGCATATGTGTGTGTGTTTTAAATCATTGATATATCAGTACCTGAACTCCATCTGTGGTCTGTCAGCTATACAGAACTATTTGGTGTAAAACCCACTGTCAGTTGACTGCCAATGATTGCCATGTTTTGTTTTTTTAAAGTATTTTCCAGTTTAGTAGTTTACATTTAAAATATTGCAGAATGTAGTTCATAAAGCAGTTCAAGAAATGCAACAAGCTTTGGGGTTCAACGTATCCATAAAGCCGGGAAAAATTACTCGATGTGCCCCTTGCAGATCATGTAGCATTTGCTATATTAAAGGTGGGGTAGTTAATTCACTTCAGAAACACTTTTTGTTATATTCAATGGAATGCTCTTAACATCCCGATAGCAATGACTACATTAAATGCTTTGACAATAAATACATAACAAAATGTCATCTGTGGAAGCCGTGGCGCTGTAAAAAGCACGACCAATCATCTGAGCCGGCCCGGCTAAAATAACTGGATGGCCTACCTGCCTGTCAGCCTTCCATCTGTGCACAAACTTATCTCGTGCCCTCATTGGTCATGTGCGCGTTCGTGTGTGTTGGAGGAGGGGCTCTGTAAGGAACTCTGAGGCAAGGGGCAGATTTTTTTCGGCTGTGTAGTTTCAAATTCTAGCGCACTAGAGGTTTCTCCATTCTTACCTACGCTACCTTTAAGGTGGCAATTCACCCAAACTTTAAAAAAAAACAAGGTAGTCGAGGTCATTTTGCATTGGCAGCATTGCCATATGGTAACCACAAAATCAGTAGAAGAAACCTGGAGAAAATAAAAAGTAGAATTACTACCCGTATTTTGTGTAATCATATAGGCCTAGTCCAAAGAAAAAACACATTTCCCTGTTGGCCTGCCAAAGCGGTTCAAAGCTTTTAGAAAATGGCAATCATTTGGGATTTAAACACCATCATTCAATTGGGTACCACTTTACAATAAGACTACCCTTATAAAGGGTTTATGAATAGTTTGTAATTCATCTATTAATTAGGTTGTGAACACTTTATAAATCATTAATAAGCTTTTACAAGACATGAGATAAACAGGGCAACTGTGACTGGTTGCTTGCCAAATAGTGAGCCCACATTTATCTGGACTGCTAAGCCTTATATTGGCTAATTAGCTTACTTCATCTTCTTCATCAGCCAGCATCCTTGGTATCTGTTGTTCACTGAGTTGATTCTCGCCAAGTAGCCAATATAAGTCTTAGTCATCTTGCCAAATAGTGAGCCTGTGTTGGTGTATGAAAACTATTTTAGAACTGGTTTATAAATGGTTCTTAATGATTAATAAAGTGCTTATAACCTCATTCATAACCTAATTATAAACCCTTTATGAATCCTTTATAAGGGTAGTCTTATTGTAAAGTGGTACCTTAAATTGTATTCAGCAAAAGTACTGTTCCCCAACATATATTGATGCTTAATAGAAGATGGACCTTTATTGATACCCCGAGGGGGACATTCAGTAATAATAATAGCTGCAGTTTAGAGAATATGTTAGCATTAGCATGGAGCAAGGATTCAAAGAAAAACACTGCAAAAGGGCACATGGATCATTATAGTGTACACTTCTCTGTGTCCCATCACTTACCAGTATCAGACCTCTCCTGGTCTCAAGACGCAGACACAGAATCTGAATATTAGAGCACTCTGAAGTCAAACCCTTCATGTGCATGTTAAGCCATTTGTATGCTAAAGGGAACTCAAACCAATTTAACAGGATTCAATTAGAATTAAACACTTTTTTTTAAGGCAAGGTCATATGGCAGTTAGTGCAACCTCAGTGTATTTATTTTTCATTTCTTCATGAACATTTGAGATGGAAGCCAATATTATAACTTTTCTCCGTCTGCAGCTCGGTGTGTGTGTGTGTGTTTCAATCCAGTCCATGTGTCCTCCTCAAACCTTCGGCCTGTTGGCCTCACAGTCTTTGCTGCTCCGCTCCTCCCCCCCGTCCACCAGCGCCGTGTCGGGGTGCACCTCCTCTTCATCCAGGGTCACCACCACGGGGGGCCGTCTCCTCCTCCTCGCTCCTCCCCCTGATCCCCCAACACCCCCATCGCCTCCCTGCTCCGTCTCCTCGTCTTCCTCCTCGTCTTCCTCCTCGTCTTCGTCCTCCCCGGCCTCTGTGTCCTGGCTGGCTGAGTCGGTGCAGGTGGAGGAGAGGGAGGAGAGCTTGTGGCGCAGCTCGGCCTGGGTGGGCACCTGGAGACTGATCTCTGTGGTGAAGGACTCCACATCTGGGAGGAGGAGGGGGGGGGAGGAGGAGGGAGGGGGAGGGGGAGGGAGGAGGAGGAGGAAGGGGGGGGGAGGAGGAGGAGGGGGAGGAGTCATATAGCAGGTAGGTGGATAAGTAAAGCTGTGGTGGTGTACTGCTTTAGTCATTGAGAATTGTAACCCTTTTCTATTCGTTAAACACTATTCATTTGCTATCTTAGACCAATTACTGCCAATAAAGTCAGAGCACTAATTCCTGGAGGGGTACTTCACAGGTTTTTTTTAAATGTGCTTGAAGTTGGCCAGACTCGCTCTCCTACCAGAGGTGGGAAGTAGTGGAGTACAAATATTTCGTTACTGTACTTAAGTACATTTTGCTGGTATCGACGATTTTTTACTTTTACTTCTTACATTTTTAACACAAATACCTGTACTTTCTACTTCTTACATTTTCAAAACAGGTTTGTTACTTTAGTTTTAATCTGTGTTTGGTGGCGTGATCATTATTATTAAGAGTCATTGCGTGCCTATTGATTTTAACACGATCCGTGTATCCATCATTTCCTGGTCTTCTCTAAAGAAGAGGGACCAATGAAAACGTTGTCATGTTGCCATTGTTCAGCATGGAAACATTCATTAGCTAACAATTACATTATTGTTCTATTAATATAAAGGGAGGTCAGGTACTCTTTAAAATAGCTGCTAGTTATGGGTACTTTTTACTGAAGTACATTTCGAAGCCCATACTTCTTTACTGTTACTTGAGTAAAGTTTAGTCAGTACTTCTACTTTTACCAGAGTATTTTCAAATACGAGTATCTGTACTTCTATTTGAGTAAAGGATGTGTGTACTTTTGCCATCTTTGTCTCCTACAGACATTTGAATGTATCGGAGATTTATTTGCATTACATAACCTTTAGACAGACCGAGCTGTCAGTGAGATGCTGGAGGTTGTTGACAGTGGAAGGAACTTTCTCCAGCAGATGTGAACAGATGGCGTTTGTGTATCGTGCTTAAACATTGTTCCTGTCAATCTTCTGAGTCACATATTTCTGCTTCATCAAACTCTATGATGTGGATTAGATGTCAAAAGTGAAATCCCTTCAGTAATTAAACGCTGTTTGAGTTATTATAGTTTGAATGCTTTAGAGGTGTGTTTATGGCCGCCTACCTGCGACAGGCGAGGTGCCGCTGTTGTCCTCTCCTCCAGAGTGCAGGAACACATCCAGGGCCTCATGGTCAGACATGTCCATCAGGTCCATCTGCTCCAGCATGTCCACGTTCACCTCCATGGACGACATGCTTCCTATTGGCCCTGCAGGTGAGACGGAGAGATATTAGCCTGGCACCAGACTGAAGAGGGCAGCAGCAAGGGACTGAGTCTAGGAACACAGTGCTTTGAGTTCTGCGTTTCAAAATGTGCCAAGCAGAAAGCAAATGGGCACATTCAAGCTGGATGGCATTGAAATGGGTTAGCTTGTGTACATAAAACATTTGGTTTATGGTCAAATCAACGGCATTACCAAACGAAAAAATGGATTGCCAGGTGTCAGAACATGTACGAAGCTGTATATGAAGGCGACAAGCAACAACTACAACATCATTAAAGGATAGGTTCACATTTCCTCAAAGGTATCTTAATTCAAATGCCCTTATTTACATTTTAATTGTTTATTTTAAGTCCTTCCATCTATTCATGTGGGCCAACAGAACATCCTTCACTCATGCAATCCCAATTTACAAGATGTGGGACAATATCTACGGTCTAGGTTTAGCTAAAAAAGCTCTCTTGTATCTTTTTTGATCAACATGTGGGCATGGGAGCATAGCATAGAAAGAGTTGAAAAAACGTGATCTTATACATAGACAGGCTTCAGTGGCTCAGAAGCAAAGAGCCTCCTGAAAGAGAATTGAAATGAACACTTTTACCAGCTTGAAGGATTGGAATCCATCTAGGAATACTGCGAATGATCATGGTACCCACATGTACATTTTAGGGCTGGCTAAAGCATCTTAAAATTGAATTAATGTAAAATGAAATGAAAGATCGACCTGGCAACACGATGCAGTGAACCCAGTATCAGTCCTTTGAATGTACATTAAGTTAGAAACAATACAATACTTAAAGCAGATGAGAGAACAGAATGGACTTAACTGACCTTAATATTCAACATAATGTTATTTGTGGTTAATTCTACATTATCTACATAATTAGTATGACGTGCAAAACGGCAAAATGTGGTTACGTTTCACAAAAAAACTCTAATATCTGTGTTGATTTTCTATGGCAGAACCAGCATTACTGGCACTAGGAACTAGCTTGTACTTTAAAAAGGAATATACAAACAAAACCGTTGGAGACCCCTTTTACACCCCCAGCGTTTACACACACTGCTCCAGTCCTGATTCACCGCCTTGCAGCGAAACAAACCCCCCTGTTCACTAGCATGATGTGCTGCATGCGTGACAAACAGCCAGTCAGTGCACTGTGGGGATGAGAGGAGAGTGGGGGGGTGGGGGCAGAGTTGCGAGCACAAGAGGGCGAAGGTGCACAGCAGTGAGAGAAGATGCCATTGGCTACTGTACCTCAAGGAAATGAGGAGAGCAGAGGAGGGCGGCACAGGGAGGGAGAGCAGAAGAGAGAGTGAAGAGAGAGAGAAAGAAGGGGGGAGTTATTTCCCGTGGACACCGCTCATACACACACACACACCTGAACCAGCACTATCGCCATGTTGTGAAAGGCTTATCCAGAAAGCAGTGCATTGAGAACATCATTTCCATGTGACTGCTTCTTACATGTTCTTCTTTTAGCCCTACTGTGACCTTCCCTAAAAGGTTCCCTGCTGGGAAGGAGTGTTTTTGCCTAGAGCGAGCTTGGGGTGTGTGTGTGTGTGTGTGTGTGTGTGTGTGTGTGTGTGTCCTAGCATTACTATACTTGTGGGGACCTAAATCTGTCTACACAGTCACGTGTGGGGACTCGCCTCCCTTATGGGGACAAAATGGAGGTCCCCATGAGGGGAATCATTAATTTTAGGGTGAAGACTTGGTTAGGTTTAGGGTTAGGGTAAGGGTTAGGCATGTGTTGGTTATGGTTAAGGTTAGGATAAGTCGACCAGGAAATGCTTGTAAGTCAATGTAATGTCCCCTGAAGTGATGTATACATGGTATGTGTGTGTGGGTGTGTGTGACCCTTGAGACTGGCTTTTTGACAGCTCAATGGCTTAAGACATCTGCCACCCCCTCTCGCTTTTTTTTTGTCACTATCTCTTTTTATTTTTTCCTCCACATTTATCTCCCCTCTCATCTCCAGCTGGATTTCCGCTCTCGAGTGGCGCCGCCCTGCTGTAGAGATGTGTATTTGGAGAAGAATAATGAGTCTCAGTGTTATTGAGCTCACACACCAAGGCCTCTTTTCAGATGTATTTCACCAGAATTATAATGTGAGCCTCCGTTGTACGGATTAACACATATTCGTATAGCGAATATGATTGGTTGATTATTTCTCTGTTGTGGATTTTGTTAAAGCAGCCGAATTGCCAGCCTTTGTAATGTGAATCCCATCTTTTAACGTGTGAAACCAAATTGTAAACATCTCCTCTGTCTTTTTACCGTGAATGAATTTAGGGGATTCTGAATATGAGCTAATGAGCTGTGAATATTTCACTCAGTGAACCTCAAGCCTGTCATGGAGATTATGAAAAACACAGCACTGACTTGAAAGCTGTTTCGAGTGACAGTAAAAATATAAGTCTCTCCTTCTCCTCTCCTTAAGACTCTTTCCTTTCGCTCCCTCTCTCCTCCTTCCTTGCTGCTCCACAATCCTCTCTAATAAGCCATTTCCAGAGGATTAAGGGAACAGGATTAATGAGTAAAAAAAGAAGAAAAATCACATTGTAAACTCTGGGCCAGTAGATTCCAATACATCTTCAGCACAGGGTGCACTATCCCTCATTTCAGCAAATCCATTGGGTATTTTAGCACAGGCTTTTTTCCGTAATACATGAGGTAAACTGCAGCAGGATTCTATTACAATCCCAGTGGAAGCCTACAGTTATGAGGCACGGTGGCATTTTTCAACGTAATGGTTCTACTTGTGTGTTTAGCGACAGGCGCTCAGAGCCTCGCTGCAAAAAGCTATTATGGCTCAATCTTGTGATATGCTGTTGAAGTGTGAAGGTTTCAGCTGATGGCATCAGAGCTGGGGAATTAATACATTTGAATGCTCGATGGCTTTGCATTCACCCTTGAATTTGTAACAGACACTACAACGTATATTCATAAAAAAATTTCCTCTGTAGGCCTCAGACCGAAATATATTCTAAATGTCAAGCTGTTTAAATATATTCAGAGAGGATGACTTTGAAATAAAGAACGCCTTCACACCCACCTCTCCTTTCAGCGATCTGCAGGTATCCGGTGGACAGGTACTGCTCCATGTCTTGCTGGAAGGCCTCCTCAAAGAACTTCTGTCTTTCTTTCAGCTTGACCTGGGGGGTGGGGGCTCCTCCCTGCTCGGCCCCGGGGACCCTCTGTGCGTGCTCCGTGTCTAGCTCCACTGGAAAGAAAGGGGAGAAGAACGTTTTTAAGGTTTGCAGGAGGTGCTGGACACAGTGTTGAAAGAAGTACTCAGATGTTTTGCTTGAGTAAAAGTCGTAATAATACATTGCTAAAATACTTTGTTACAAGTTAAAGTCTTGCATTCATTTTAGAATCGTGCAAACATATTGGATTATGAGGTGTTAATGTAGAGCTAATTTAAATTATACTGCTGCTGGATATCTCAACCTATACATATATGTAATTGTTCATTCAATAATTGATTTGTATTAGCTAATAATCTAAATAGCAACTAAAAGCTGTCAATTAAATGTAGTGGTGTGAAAAATAACAATATTGGCTCCTAAAATGTAGTGGAGTAGAAGTTTACAGTAGCATAAAGTGAAAATACTCAGGTAAAGTTCAAGTACCTCAAAATGGTACTTGAGTACAGTACTTAAGTAAATGTACTTTGCTACTATCCACCACTGGTAGCTAGGGATGTAACGGTTCACAGAAGTCACGGTTCGGTTCGCACCTCGGTTTGGGGGTCACGGTTCGGTACGGGTTCGGTACAACAAGAAAAAGCAAAAAAAAAGTCCCAAATGCATAATTCCAGGTTTGTTGTTATTTATTTTTGAACAGTAGTGCAAGTTTCAGTTTAAAAATAAGGAACTCGAATAATTAACTGTATTAAACAGTTAAAAACAAACCACAAACAGTACCACACACAGTACACTCAGATGGCCATATTATCTATAATGGCTGATGTCAAACAAAAAGGTTTCATCAAGCTGTAAAACTAAAAAGAATGTATTGGAAATATTACATCATAAATAATAAGAAAGTGTTTCAAGAGCACATAGTCGTTGAAAAACATATGCCAAAAACTTCCGTTATTTATTTTGGTCTCTCGGCTCTCATGTCTCTTGTCTTCTTAAAAACAGCGCGGATCAGCTGTTGAACTGCTGTTGTCTTTTGCCGGGCTCCGGTGATTGGCAAATCTGGGTGATGCCTTCTGATATGATTTAGCATGTTTGGCGTGTGTTACCATTAGCATACCGCACCGCTGTCTAACAACGCCGACACACCGTCCTCGTCCGATCCACCACTCGCACACTTCATCGTTACTGTAGTCCACAGGGAACCCGAAATGTTCCCAAACAGCTGGTTTAAAAGAAGCAGGTGGGTTCTAGCTCCTGTGTGTTATCTGAAATCGCCATACTAACTTTTCTTCTTCTTGTATTTTGTTCGTTTTGTTGTTGTGTTTCTTCTTGTTCTTCGTTTGTTATTTAAGGGCGGCTGGCAAACAGCTTTTAGGCGCAATACCGCCCCCTGGATTATATATAGTGTAATACTGCCCTGAATGACAGACTTTTTTCCCACTCGTAAAAAAAGGCGTATTCGTCGTGTGACTGCATGTGCCGAACCGTGACGTCCGAACCGTGACGGTACGGAATACGGATACCGTTACACCCCTACTGGTAGCACATGAGATGGAAACACGTTCAACTAGAAAGCAACAGAAGCGCATACAACTCCACCAAAAAGTGCAATTATGTCAAACATATCCATCGGTGATGCCTTAAATATTTCAGAGGTCTAATGTGTGTATCTCAAACCTGAATAACCACCAGGGTACCCAATACATTTCAATGAAATTATATTCATGTTGTTTTGGTTTGTTCTCTTGACATACAAGAAGGGGAAAATATGTCTTTTATATAAAGCCTAAACTTAACTTACCTACAAAACGTATCATACGATTTTTTTTTAATTGAAATTAATAATGCTTATTGCAGATAGAAAAGCAGCCAAATTCAATCTCTACCGAAGCAGAACGATGTAGAGCGCAGCTCTCCACAGCATTCACATAATCTGCCGTTATACCCTCAGTGACTCAATACTCTGTCTCCTGTGGGTTTGCACGGAGGGTACCTCACTCAGAAAAGTCTCACACATGCACCCCCCCCCCCCTCCCTCTGCTGCACGCACTTCAGTCTCCTGCTGTCCGTATCCCCAGCCATTAAAGGAGATGAAAACATACAGTGCTGAAAACAATTGACTGCTGTTCCTGCATACTCTTTCTCGAATGTAAAGGGCATTCAGTTTTTATAAAGTCACTGAGTTTGACATACATTACGGGGTTAGACTGAAATGGTCTGTTGTTTAGTTTGCATTGTAGAATAACCCTGTATTTCCTCCTATCTAAAATATGCAATTTTGCCAAATGTCTACGAATCATCCTGTGTAGCAGTGGCGGCGCTAGGGGGTGGCTACTTGGGCTCAAGCCCCGGATGTTTCACTTTTTTTTTTTTAAATTATCTTCTTTTTTTTTTTTTTAAACGTCTTGGGAGTAATGTATGTGCAGTACCGGAGTCCACCAGAGAGGCAGCCGCTGCGGGACATTAGCCTGCGTACTGCGTGCCTGCCCTGAAGAAGAAGTGATCCTTCCTAGTGCCTGACGAGTTTTAAGCTAATAGCCTATACAGTTATGGATATTAGAAAGTTATTGTCATCGAAGCAGGCGCCACAAGCTGCAGCAGCAGCAGTATCAGCAGCTGACAACAATGTCATCACCAGCAGTGAAGAAATGGATGATGTTTCAGGTTTGTGAATCTAATGGTGATATCTGCACTCTGGCTGATTGAGTAAGAAGTGAAAAAGAGTGATGTAACGTTAATGTTATAGCTAGTAAACATGGAGTAACCACACTAACCCCCTAATCCCACCAGGAGCGTCTGCGCTGCGTTGCGCTGCGGCGTTTTTAGCGATCGCGGCCACTCTAGTCAATGGGTGCTATTCCACCAGACACGCTGCGCCGCGCTGCGCCGCGGCTCGAAGCGTCCCAGAAGCTCCTCGCCGCAAGGAATTTCTAAAATATAGGATGAATCCTATTTTTGACGCGGCGCAGCGCGGCGCAGGCAGGAAGTGGAATGTTCATCCAACAACTGCGAAGCTGCACACACGACGCTCCGCTTACGCAACGTTTGGAAACGCGCCTGGTGGGTTAGGACGCAGGAGGAGGTCGCAGCGCGGCGCAGCCGCAGCGCAGACGCTCCTGGTGCGATTAGGGGGTAAGTATACCCTTATATGTTAGTATGTATACAGAACATGACTAAAAATTATCCTAAGATGTAACGTTAACCCTTCATACCTCAGTCTACTTTTAAGACACTAAAATAACGTATTCCAATTTTTATTTTGTTTTCACGCGTGGAATTATACCGGCTCTCGTTTCAGTACACATAACAACGGAACTGACAGACAACCCTCTGAATCAGACTCCGATTGGCTGTGACTGCATCCACTCAGAGTGTCCGATTCAGAAACGTGACTCTTACACTCTTTACGTCACAAACAAAGATGGTGGATGAGAATAGATCTATAAAACGATAAGCAATGCGCCAGAATCAAGGTGAGACTATCCGCATACATTAAAACTCTACGCACATTTGTTTCACCTTAATAAGTAAACGACTATTTGAGTGAGTTAAGGCATTAGTTTGCTTCATTAAAGGGTGTTAATGAATAAGTGTTCTCCAGTGCCTTTTGTCCGCTTTAAGGTATTATTAAAAAAAAATCTTCCCGGGGGAGCATGCCCTCCTAGAGGAGGTGACGATCCCCCTAAAGCAGGGGTGCCCACACTTTTTTGGCTGGTGAGCTACTTTTGAAATGACCAGCTCACCGAGGTCTACCAACCCAAAATAATATCCCAAATTGCAAGGGTTGCTGAATAACTACAATAGGGCTGCAACAAACGACTAATTTGATAATCGGTTAATCTATCGATTAATGAAACGATTAATTGACTATTCGGACTATTACTGTATGCCTTGCACAATTTCTCAAACGCTCTTATTTAGCCATCAACTTTTAGATTTAGCTTGAGGTTGTTTTAGGCATGTGGAAACTAACAATGAAGACAATAAAGATGAATACTTGATTCAAAAATACATATATTATTAAATTAACTTAACAAATTGTGAACAAAACTAACATTGCTTTTTATTTAAATTAAATAAATAATATTTCACATCAAAAGAAACAACAGTGTTTTAACAAATCGTATTAAATAATCTGACAGAACTGTGAACAGAATAGCTGAAACTTTAACAAAATAAAGAGTAACTCTGTTACCTATAATCATTAACCCATGTTTGTATAATTGAGTTAACTCCGTGTGTTGCTGCTAGCATACATAACACCTGACGTGGAAACGTTCCTCGTGGATGGAGCTACAGAGCTACAAGAAAGACAGTCGAACGCGGTGCATTCCTCCGTCTGGATGTGGTGCATTTTTTGCTAAATGTTTAGACAAATTGCTCGTGTTACCGCCCTTACATGCTAAACTCTTATTGCACTTTTGGTAACGAGCATTGTCCACATCGAGACGGGTAACATTTAACCACACCTCGGAGCGAGTTCTCTCCGCCATCTCCGCAGTGTGTTGCTGCATGTAGCAGCTGCGTGTGTGTAAACTGCCCCGCCCTCTCCCAAGCAGACGGGGGAGAGAGATCTCGTCTCGATTGGAAAGATCAAAAATACACCGACCCATAGACGCATTTGTTTTGTCTTTTTGCATATTAGAAATTAGAGTTGGCGTATTAGAGTTGGCGACACTAAGACTGCAAGATAATGTTTGTGTAGCAATAATACATGACCTTTCTTTTTCTCAACTCGCTACTCGGAGGGAAGTCGCTGTCATATGCCTTGTGAACACTCCGATAATGCTCTCCACGTTACCTTTCTTTGGCAAAGCGACGCTTGCTTTACAAATAAGGCAAATAACCTTTTAATTGAGGAGGGATCAAAACCTGTTTTGTCTATTTTAACGGAGCTGGATTTTTTTTTATGAATGACTCGCGATCTACCAGCATTGACCCCGCGGTCGACGTACTGGGCACCTCTGCCCTAAAGGATGTTCGGTCCACCCCCCACTTGTAAAAAATAGCACTGTACCCCTAAACCCCCCCCCCCAACAACTCCTGGGCTAAGCCCCGGATCTCCTACAATCCT